GGCTGGGCAGGGGGAAGGCGGGTGGGCAAATGAGCATTTACCCTGTGAGACCAGTCAGCCCGCGGGGGTTGAGGCTGGGCTGGGACTTGGCCCCAGCTGCCCTGACGTTGGTGGTCTTCCTGGCCCCACTGCAGTAAACAGGCAACCTTATGACCTTGTCCTTGTGTGTGTGTGCGTGTGGGCTTGGGCGGGACGGGGCAAGGGCTGAGCCGAGAATGAGACGGGGGCTGTGGGACCCGCTTCAGGCGCATGGTGAGCAGATGATGCATCCGTTTCTCTGTCTCCCGTGTGTCTGGGTCAGCGTGGCCTCTGGTCTCTGGCCCTCTTGGTGATTCCCTCCTTCCTGTCCCTGCCCCATCTACCCCTCCCCACAGAAGCAGCGTCCCCTCTCACAGCATGTCCTCCCGCCGGGACACCGACTCGGATACCCAGGATGCCAATGACTCGAGCTGTAAGTCATCTGAGAGAAGCCTCCCAGACTGTACCCCTCACTCCAACTCCATCACCATCGACGCCGGCCCCCGGCAGACCCCCAAGATTGCCCAGATCAAGCGCAACCTCTCCTATGGAGACAACAGCGACCCTGCCCTAGAGGCGTCCTCGCTGCCCCCACCCGACCCCTGGCTCGAGACCTCCTCCAGCTCCCCAGCGGAGCCAGCACAGCCAGGGGCCTGCCGCCGCGACGGCTACTGGTTCTTGAAGCTACTTCAGGCAGAAACAGAGCGGCTGGAAGGCTGGTGCTGCCAGATGGACAAGGAGACCAAAGAGAACAACCTCTCTGAAGAAGGTGGGTGCTGCAAGGATGACCCTGGGGGCGGCGGTTCACATGGGCTCTCTGGCTTTTGACCACCAGCCTCAGCAGCTTCAAGCGACACGTGTCTCAGGTTCTGTCCTTAGGCCATTCTGCAAGCTCCCTTCTTATTTTCAGTCTTCACTTTTGGCCACCCACCTACCTACCTAACCAACTGTCCTTCCAGAAAAGGTTGTTGGCAGCAGCTGCTAGTTGTACAGCTGTGGGGGCAGCCACACCTTGTTTGGGTGACTGAGCTCAGTTTCCTCATCTATGAGTGTGTAGTAAGGATTGAATGTGGTCTTACATGTGAAGGGCCTGGTGAAGTGCTGGCCACAGAGAGAGGTGGCATCATAATCATGCCTTCAGAGGCTCCTTATGCGTACCCACTGTGTGCCAAACACAGGGACCCGACTGGGCCTCAACAGGGTATGAGGAAGTTCTCTCTCTTTCCACTTATGCTTCTATCTGTACCAGATTTCTTTCCAAAAATTCCCCTGAAAAAATTAGTTCAAAACAGCTAGAAAAACAGGGTGCCGAGATTCAAGGTGGTTGAAGGAGAGGCACCAACCTGATTTAGCCAAAATTCTGATTCTCAGCTCCTCCTCCACAGAACATTCCAGAAGGACAGGTGTTCTGAGTGGTAGAGAACCCACATCCCACTGACGCCTGAGGGCTGGGCCCTGAGGAAGGCTTTCTCTGATGATGCAGAGGGTATTTCAGAGTCATTGTTTTCACCGTCCTCTAGGCCAGTTCCCAGCTTTGATGTCACACCCACTGGTGTGCAGGGAGCTGTTTGAGAGATATGCCTAATACTTTTTTACAATAGTAGTATTTTTAAAAAATCAAAATAGAGGCAAGGATCAAAGCACTAAAAGGCTTCCAGCAGAAAACATCCAGCCCACTGCCCTACCTGGGCTTGTCCCCACTTTCAACTCTACTGGCTGACTATTCTGGTATTTGCCTTCTTATTTTTTTTTTTAAATGTGATTGATTTCCTTACATTTCCTCTCTAAAGTTAATGATAATTATGTATTGATTTCCTGCTATCATAGGTGAGTGTTTAGCTCTATCATATGACCTCCACCTCCCATTCCCCACCCTCCATATGTTACATCACAATTTTTAGTTAAGTAACAAACAGCATTTCTGTTTATTATGTGTGTGAATACTGATTACCATAGAGCCTAGTAGTATATTATGATTATGATTGGGTTTTTTTTACATTTTTTTCCCTAGAATGGTTACTTCATTTTTTAAATATACTCCATTATTGAAATAGTCATTTGTAATTTTTCCACATGCTCCACCAGATCTGCCAACTCTCATCAATATTATTTTCTTAATGTACAAGCACATGACATAATGTCATGATTTCCTGTTTTACTCCAGCCTGGCCAGGTTGCTCTCTGTCCAGCTGGTGTCCTGAGATTTCACCTTGCATCATCTGGAACTGCCCTTGGCCAGTTTCCCGTAATGGGTGCCCTGCTTTTTGGACCACATGGTCATCTGTTTTCTTGGTTTTAATCCCTCTTTTTACTGGAATGTATCTTTAATTGGAGAGAAATTTGTGGAAATGTTACATGTCTTTGACCTCACACAATCTGGCTGAGTATAAAAAGTTGAAAACGGGCTGGGGCTATAACCGTAGCACTTTGGGGGGCCAAAGTGGGAGGATCACTTGTGCTCAGGAGTTCGAGATCATCCTAGGCAACATAGTGAGGCCTCTTCTCTACAAAACTTAGCTACTAGGGAGGCTGAAGCAAAAGGATCACCTGAGCCCAGAAGGTCGCAGCTGTAGTGAGCTGTTAAATGCCACTTTACTCCAGCTGGGGCAAATGAGTGAGACCGTTACTCAAAAAAAAGTTTTGATTAAATTAATTACACATTAAACTCTGTACTCCTTCAGCAATAACTCCCCATTACCCTCCCCGCCCAGCCCCTGATATCCTCTGACGTGCTTTCTGTCTATGAATTTGCCTAACCTGAATAGTTCATGTAAGTGAGATGTTATAATATTTGTCTTTTGCGTATGGCATAATGTCTTCAAGGTTCATCCATGTTGTAGCGTATATAAGAACTTCATTCATTTTTATGACTAAATAATATTCCATTTTATGTACAGGATACACCACATTTTGTTTATCTGCTCATCTGTTGACAGGCACTTGGGTTGTTTCTACCTTTAGGCTACTGTAAATAATGTTGCAGTGAAGATTAGAATACAAAACAGGACACAGTGGCTCACACCTGTAACCTCAGCACTTTGGGAGGCTGAGTGGGAGGATTGCTTAGGTTCAGGAATTCAAGACCAGCCTGAGCAACATATTAAAAATATTTTTAAAACTAACTGGCATGTGCCTATAGTCCCAGCTACTCAGGAAGCTGAGGCAGAAGGATTGCCTGAGCCCAGGAGGTCGAGGCTGTGGTGAACCATGATCGTAATTGTGCCACTACACTACAGCCTGGGTGACAGAGTGAGACCCTAACTCAAAAAAAAAAAAAAAAAAAGACTAATGTACAGGTTGATCCCTGCTTTCAATTCTTTGGGGTAAATACCTAGGTGTGGAATTGCTGGGTCATATGGTAACTCTATGTTTAACTCTTTGAGTAACTACTGAACCGTTTTCCACAGCAGCTACACTGTTTTAATTAGCCGGGCTTGGTGGCTCAACCTATAATCCCACGCCTTTGGGAGGCGAGGTGAGTGGATTGCCTGAGCCCGCGGGTTTGAGACCTGCCTGGGCAACTTGGTGAGACCTCATCTCTACAATAAATCAAAAAAAATTAACCGGGCGTGGTAGCACGCGCCTGTAGTTCCAGCTACGTGGAAGGCTGAGGCGGAAGGATCGCCAGAGCCCAGCAGGTCGAGGCTGCGGTGGCCGGGAGCGGCCACTGCACTCCAGTCTGGGCGACAGAGTGAGACTCCAACTCAAAAAAAAAATTATAGCCACCCTAATGAATATGAAGTAGTATCTCATTGACATTTCCCTAATGACACCAAGCATTTTTTCATGTGCCTGTTGGTCAGTTGTATGTCTTCTTTGGAGAAATATCTAAATCCTTTGTCAGTTTTTTAATGGAGTTGTTTGTCTTTTTGTTGTTGAGTTGTAAGTCCTTTATATATTCTGGGTACTAGATCCTCATCATGTATATGTTTTACAGATATTTTCTCCCATTCTGTAGGTTGTGTTTTCATTTTTCCTTTTTTTTTTAAATTGGGGATCTCACTCTGGTGCTCAGGCTGGAGTGCAGTGGCATAATCATGTCTCACTGAGGCCTTGACCTCCTGGGCTTAGGCAATCCTTCTACTTCAGCCTCCCGAGTAGCTGGGACTACAGGCATGTGCCACCACACCCGGAAATTTTTTTTTGTTTTTTTAGAGATGAGGTTTTGCTGTGTTGCCCAGGCTGGTCTTAAACTCCTATACTCAAACAATCCTCCTACCTTGGCCTCTCAAAAAGTGCTGAGATTACAGGAATGAGCCACTGTGCCAGGCCACTTTTTTTTTTTTTTTCTTAGTTGGAATCTCATTCTGTCACCCAGACTGAAATGCAGTGGCACGCTCACTGCCACCGCATCCTCAACCTGCTGGGCTTAGGCAATCCTTCCAGCTCAGGCAATCCTTCTACCTCAGCCTCCCAAGTGGCTGGAACCACTGATGCCCACCACCACATCTGGCTAATGTTTTATTTTTGTAGAGATGAGTTCTCACCATGTTTCTCAGGCTAGTCTCAATCCTGCGCTCAGATAAATCCTCTCGCCTCTGCCTCCCAAAGTGCTAGGATTACAGATGTGAGCCACCACACCCAGCCTTACCACTTTCCTGATATAGTACCTTTTTTTTTTTTTTTTGAGTTGGAGTCTCTCTCTGTTGCCCAGGCTAGAGTGCAATGGCACACTTGCAGCCACCACAGCCTTGACCTGCTAGACTCAGGTGATCCTTCCGCCTCAACCTTCCAAGTAGCTGGAACTACAAGCATGTACTACCGCGCCTGGCTTATTTATTTATTTATTTTTGAGTTGGAGTCTCACTGTCACCCAGACTAAAGTGCAGTGGCCGCTCCCGGCCACCGCAGCCTCGACCTGCTGGGCTCCGGTGATCCTTCCGCCTCAACCTTC